ACCATATACATAATTTAATTTAAAGTGAAGAACGATTTAAATGTAAGAACTAAAACTACACAACTCTTAGAAGAAAATGTTGGTGAGCCTGGGAGTGAAGTTCAGTAGTAGAGCACTGAACTAGCATTATCAGCATGCATAAGGCCCTGGGTTTGATCCCCAGAACAACAAATCAAAAAAAAAGAACACTTTGGGGAAAATCTCCATAACACAGGATTTGGCAATAATTTCATCAATATGACACTAAAAGCACAAGAAACACCACAGGATAAATTAAAGTTAATCAGAATTTAAACCTTTTGCACAACAAAGGACATGCTATCAAAAGAGTAAAAGGCCAAGCACAGTGGTGCATGCATGTAGTCCCACCTACTCAGGAGGCTGAGGTAGGAGGATCACTTCAGACCAGGAGTTCAAGACCAGCATGGGCAACATAGCAAATATGGTAAGGAAGAATGAAAAGAAAAACTAGAAAATACTTGTAAATCATTTATCTGATAAAGAATCTAAATATCCCTTATATATGAAATACCCAAACACAATTCAAAAATACACAAAGGCTAGCTGACACATGACTGTAATCCCTGCAACTCACAAGTTCAAAGCCAGTCTCAGCAATTTAGCAAGACACTATCTCAAAATAAAAATGGATGGGGATTTAGCTCAGTGGTTAAGCACCCCTGAGTTCAATTCCCAATTACCTGCCCCCCAAAAAATACACAAGGGTCTTAAATAGATATTTCTCCAAGAGAAGACATACAAAAGGTCAATAAGCACATGAAAAGGATGCTTTGCATGCCTAGCCTTTAAGTAAATGTAAAGCAAAATATCATTTTGCCCACTAGGGTGTAGGATAATTATTACCTTTTTATTAATTTAATTTCTGTAGTACTAGGATTGAATTTAGGCCCTTGTGCATGCTAGTCAAGCACTCTACCACTGAGCTACACCCTTGGCCCATTTTATTTTGAGGCAAGGTCTCATTAAGTTGCTCAAATTGGCTTCAAACTTGCAATTCTCCTGCCTCAGCCTCCTAAATAACTGGGAATATAAGTGTGCACAACCATGTTTGGCTTAAAGAAAAACAAGAAGTGTTGTGAGGATATGGAGAAATCAGAACCCTTTTGTGTAGCTGGTAGAAACATAAAATGGTGCAATTACTAAAGAAAACTGCCACAGTCTGACTGGGCACAATTCACTTGTCAAGCAGGAACGAACTTTATTTTTTAGCATGCATGCTGCACCACGCGAGCTCTCCAGGAGAGCTCAACTGCAACCACCCGCACTTCCGGGAAGCACTCCACTGGAACCTCCAGGTCATTTCCGGCTCTTGAGGCAGACTACCCGGTCACGTGGGCAGAGCCAAAAGAGTCCCCCAATGAGCAGCTCTGTGGTCTGAAAGGGTGGGGAAAGCGTCACCATCACCGCAGAGGAGCCAATCAGCTAGAAGTTTGCTGGGGCCACTTCTGCTGTGGCTCTCAACAGAAAACAGTTTGGTGGTTCTTCAAAAAGTTAAACATAAACTGAATGAAATAAAGCAGTGACAAAAAGACAAATACTATGTTTTCACTTATTTAAGTTATCTAGACTAGTCAAACTTCATAGAAACAGAAAGTAGAATAGTAGTTGCTAGGGGTTGGAGGAAGGGAGAAATAAGGCATAGACATAATGGTATAGAGTTTCTGTTTTGTAAGAAGAAAAATTCTAGAGTTTGCACAACAATGTAAATATACTTAACACTACTCAACTGTACACTCAAAAATGGTTAAAACAATCAGATGTGGTGGCACATGCATCCCAGCAGCTTGGAAGGCTGAGGCAGGAGGATCCCAAGTTCAAAGCCAGCCTCAGCAACTTAGCGAGGTCTTAAGCAACTCAACAAGACCCTGTCTCTAAATAAAATATACAAAGCGGGTGAGGAAGTGGCTCAGTGCCCCTGGGTTCAATCTCCGGTATTAAAAAAAAAAAAAAAAAAAAAAAAAAGGTTAAAACAGCAAATTTTATGTTACATGTATTCTACCACAATTATTTTTTTGAAAAAATTAAACAAAGTTACCAAGTAACTCCGCAATTCCACTTACAGGTTAAAAAGAACTGAAATCTGAGACTCAACTCAAAGCAAACTCAAATATTTTTATGTCAATGTTCACAGAGCATTATTCACAATAGCCAAAATGTGGAAACAACTTAAATGTCCATAAATAAATGGATGGATTAAGAAAATATGGTAAGTACTTGTAATACATTATTATTCAGTCATCACCTGAAACATTTTGAAAAGTAAATCAATTCTAATACAAAAGGACAACATTGTATGAATCCCCTTTTATGAAGTATCTCAAAAAGGCAAAGTCAGGAAGAAAAGGGGAAACAACAATTTATATTGGTCAAATTATCTTATTATGTAGAGTGTATACATGAATATACAGCAACAAATCTCACTATCATGTACAACTACAATGCACCAATAAAAAAAAAAAAAACGAGGGAAAAAACAAGATTAGGCAAACCCATAGAGACTGAAAATTAGAAAGGAGGTTATCAGGAGCTGGGAGTAGGGGAAAATGGTGAGTTATTGTTTAATGGGTACAGAGATTCTGCTTGGGATGATAAAGTTCTGACAACAGATCATGGTAATGTTTGCACAAGACTGTGAATGTAATTTATGATACTGAATTATAACTTAAAAATGGTTAACAAGGAGCCAGGCACTGAGCTACTTTGGAGGCTGAAGCAGGAGAATCTCAAGTTTGAGGCCAGCCTCGGCAGCCTAGCAAGACCCTGTCTCAAAAAAATTTAAAAATGGGGAGCCAGGCTTAGTGGCAAACACCTGTAATCCCAGCAGCTTAGGAGGCTGAGGCAGGAGGATTGCAAGTTCAAAGCCAGCTTCAGCAAGTCAGTGAGACCCTGTCTCTAAATACAAAACAGGACTGGGGATGTGGATCAGTGGTTGAGTGCCCCGGAGTTCAATACCCAGTACCAAAAAAAAAAAAACAGGGCTGGGGATGTAGCTCACCGTTCAATTCCCAGCACTGATGTGAGGGGAGGTTATGTTATATTATATATGTGTGTGTGTGTGTGTATTTATTTTACAAGATAAAACTAAGAGGATGGGGCTGGGGATGTGGCTCAAGCGGTAGCGCGCTTGCCTGACATGCGTGCGGCCCAGGTTCGATCCTTAGCACCACATACCAACAAAGATGTTGTATCCGCCGAGAACTAGAATATTAAAAAAAAAAAAAAAAAACTAAGAGGAAAAAGTAGTAGGAAAAGAACTGGAGATGCTATGTAGAGACAATTTTTTTTTTTTTTTTTTTTTTGCAATTGGCAAAAGGGTATTTATTGGGGATCCATTCCAGCTGGGGCTCCGTGCTCACTCAAGAAGGGAAAGCAGCCCGGAGCCCCGAGCCAAGGTAGAGACAATTATTCTATGGAGTAATTTTGGTCCAAAAGAGAAGACAGACAGAAGTATAGCTAAAGTCAAAAGAAGAAGAGTGTTTTCCTTAAACATTTTTTAAGGTACTGATTGGAATAATTAACAAAGAGTAAAAATATTACACAGGAAAGACTGGAGAATTTCTTAGGTCATTTTGGTAGGTAAATGGAAATAGGAATTAAAATACAAAGGAAAATATGGAATTAGAGAAGAACTCAGGGGCTGAGGATGTGGCTCAAGCGGTAGCTCGCTCGCCTGGCATGTGTGTGGCCCGGGTTCGATCCTCAGCACCACATACCAACAAAGATGTTGTGTCCGCCGAGAACTAAAAAATAAATATTAAAAATTCTTTCTCTCTCTCTCTCCTCTCTCACTCTCTCTTTAAAAAAAAAAAAAAGAGAAGAACTCAGCTAGTTCTTCCATAGTGGTAGGGTAAAAGTTAAGTAAGCATATAAATATGTGGGTTGGAAAAAGCTCCCAAGAGCTGGGTATGGTGACTCACCTATAATTTCAGCTGTTGAGGAGACTTGAGGCAGGAAGGTCCAAGTTCAAGGCCATCCTGGGCAATTTAGCCAGACTCTGTATCAAAATTTTTAAAAATCTGGGCTGCGGATTTAGCTCAGTGGTAGAGCATTCGTCTAGCATGTACAAGGCCTTGGATTCAATCCCCAGTACCAAAAAAAAGATATGGGTTGGTAGCTATTTGTATTGATGGGTGTTTGTGCAAGTTCTCTTCTGTTTGCTTCTAGTTTCTCAGCAAATCATAAATAAGATCATCAATGAAAAAGAGGACTAGAGAGGAAATATTGGGATTTGATGAGAGAAGAAAAAGTATGAAATAATCTTTTAAGAGAGAGAATAAATCAGGGAAATAGGATTTCTTGGGAGCCTTAAAGGTTCAATTTTATTAAAAATAAGTATACAAGCCAGGTAATATGACAGGTGCCTGTAGTCCCAGCTCTTTGGAAGGTTGAGACAGGAGAATCACCTCAGCCCAGGAGTTCAAGACCAGCCTGGGCAATAATTGAGACTCCAACTCTACATAAATAAAGCTAACAGAGATTGAGGGTGTAGCTCAGTGATAGATCACACATTTATTATGCATGAGCCCTGGGTTCAATCCCTAACACAAAAACAAAACACGCAAAATAACATGTAGTTTTGTTTTTTATTGGTACAATGTTTTTGTTTATATATGTAATTTTATATATGCATGTGTGTATACCACATGTATACAGCACAGTAAATAGAAATATATACAAATGGTTAAAAATGGTTATTATTGGAGACTATATAAACCTATGCAAATACATACATGGGTAGGGCAGAGAGGAGTGGGAGAAACTTCTATATTCTTTGAATCTTTGATTATCATGTATTATTTTCATAATTACAACAAAATATCTTACAAGTTAATAAATACTTTCAGAGAGGAGTTTAAAACAGTGCTCAAAATGCACAGCACCTGGACTAGGCAAAACCTATGGCCTACTTAAACACAAATATCAAGTCTGCAGTGAATGTGACCATCAGAAAAATAACAGGAAACTGAGGCGTCACTCACCTTGAACACTTCAGAAAAGAAACCAGACCCTATTTTTTCACAGGTGAAGTCATCCAAACGAGTCAGTCTGGAAAAGGCACTTATAAGAGCTCTGTATGAGGATGGCCAAACTCTTCCCACCTGAGTCATGTTTCCATCCCCTCCACCACCACCTTCAAACTCTTCAAGACGTTTCTCCACAACGTTGGGGAAATCCTGCAATTGAATTCCATTTGCTCCGATCCATAGTCTCAATAATCACTTTCTTTTATTAAGAAAGAACTCCATACATAGTATTTGTTGAATTTTACTTCTCTTCCAGTTTGACACTAAATAAGAGACCAAAAAAAAAAACTCATTAAAATCATTAATGAATAAATACATGCAAATCAACTTCATAAATTTCACTTCAATGCAAAAATATTTCCTTTCATACATACCCTTCTTCCCCATACTGGAATTGAGTCCATGCATACTCTTCCAATGAGCTATATCCCCAGCCCTTTTGTATTATTGTTATTGTTGTTGTTGTTATTATTACGATGATGATGATGATGATGATAATGATACCAGGCTCTCATTAAGTTTCCCAGACTGTCCTGAAACTTGCTATCTTCCTGCCTTAGCCTTTCCAGTAACTGGAATTACACTTATGCCAGTCCACCTGGCTCCTTTCACTTTCTACCTCCTTATTTTCAGATCTAAAAAATACTTTTATGTATTTACCTTTAAAAAACATTGATAACAGCCAGGTCTGGTGGCAAAAGCCTGTAATCCTAGCGACTCAGGAGGCTGAGGCAAGATGATCACAAGTTCCAAGTCAGCCTCAATAACTTAACTCAACAAGGTCAGCCAACAATTTAGCAAAACCCTGTCTCTAAATAAAAAATAAAAAGGACTAGGAATGTGGCTCAGTAGGTTAAGTGCCCCTGGATCAATCCCTGGTACCAAAAAAAAAAAAAAAAAAAAAAAAAAAAAAACTGACACACTTAAAATCCAAGACGTAGTCACTCTTTAACATGAATAGAATATATAAGGTGATCAATTACATTCTAAGTAACAAAATAACAATGATAATATCCATCATTCATTAACCACTGACTTTCTAGGAAAGAGTATAAAAACATGGGCTGGGGTGGTCGCTCAATGGCAGAGCATGCACTTAGTCTAAGAGCTTTAACCTATATCATGTCATTTGATTCTCAAATATTTCATGATAAGGATTATTATGCTCATTTCACAGAGAGATCTTGTAACTACAGAGTCACTAAATGGTAGAGAGAAAATTAAAATCCAAGACTGATTCAAAACCCTGTGCTCCTACCAATCCCCCTTGCATCATCACATAATGTTATCTTAATTTGAAAAATTAAGTCCAAATATTTAAAAAACAAAGAAACTTCAAAATTATGTTATTTAATTTAAAAAGAAAACTATATCCAAAAGCAATCTAAAAATTCACTATTAATTATACAACACAGTGCAGTAGAAATGACAATAGAAGAGTTCATTCCACCTGGCATTTACATAACTAAAGAAAAAAGGCTCAAGCTCACTTTTTCTTTTAGCCATTTTTCCATACTTTCATTTTTTCCCCAAAGAATAGATTATAAGGATTCTAAACAAAATACAAAATTGATTTTGTGGGTTTTATTTTTGTGTGGAGGGACGGTCTTCTTTGATTTTCATTGCAAAATACAACCTTATGAGTGTTCAATTAGTGAGATGCTTCATAAATGTGATGAATACCTACCCAGCCTCCCTCCTCCACCTTCAACCATGAGAATCAAGGCAGGGATCTCAAGGCCACCCTTACAACATGACCCTGCCTTTCTTGCCATAACCAGAAGCAGCACTCTACTCAATATGCACCATTCACAGTTGCTTTTATGACAATATGGAATTGGAATTAATGTATTCCAGCCTAAATATAAGTGCTTTCTAAAAATGGAGACTATGGGCTGGGGATGTGGCTCAAGCGGTAGTGCACTCGCCTGGCATGCGTGCAGCCCGGATTCGATCCTCAGCACCACATACAAACTAAGATGTTGTGTCGGCTGAAAACTAAAAAATAAATATTCTCTCTTAAAAAAATAAAATAAAAAAATAAAAATGGAGACTATATAAAGACAGGCACTATTGTCCACTCATTTTCTACCATGCAGGCTGGAAGGCAAAAAATAAATCAAGAGATTATTGAGGCCAACTTGCAAAGAAAGGGGGTGGGGGGAGGGAGGTATCTTGAATTTCCTTATTTGTGTTCTGGTCCCCAATTCCTGAGACTTAACTTAATTGTGACTTAAAGATCTTTTGCCACCAGACCTGTATTCTTAAAAACTGCTTAAGCTAGTTCTGAATCTTCAAAGAAAGAAGAATAATCCAAGTTCTCAAAGAATAAAAACATTTCATTTCTACCTCCATTGAACCTTTGACAAAAAAGTGGCATTAAGATCAATAAATCAAAAGTTTAAGGTCACAAGAACAAAACTTTTGGGCTACAAGATCAAAACTTTTTAATTTTACAAGCTGGATATGGCGGCACACACTTGTAATCCCAGCAACTAGTGAGGCTGAGGCTGGAGGATCACAAATTTGTGGCCAGCCTCAGCTACTTAGGGAGACCCTGTCTCAAAATAAAAATTTTAAAAAGGCTACAGATGTAGCTCAGAGATCAAGTGTCCTTGGGTTCAATCCCTAGGTACCATAAAATTTTATTTTTTAATTTGACAGTCAATTGAGATTATCAAGTAGTCATTCTTTTTATACTTGAAACTCAGGCCAAGAAAGTGTAAATGCTATAAACTGTTTACTAACAAAACTAGACTTGGAATAAAAGAACCAAGGAAATGCATTTCTCAAAGTCTGTCAGGATGTGGCTCAAGTGGTAGCGTGCTCGAATAGCATGCGTGAGGCACTGGTTTCGATTCTCAGCACCACGTAAAAATAAAAAAATAAATAAAGATATTGTGTCCACCTAAAACTAAAAATGAATATTAAAAAAAAAAAAAAAAGTCTGTCTGGAGCCAGGTGCACACCTGTAATCCCAGCAGCTTGGGAGACTGAAGCAGGAGTTCAAAGTCAGCCTCAGCAGTGGTGAGGCGCTAAGCAACTCAGTGAGACCCTGTCTGCAAACAAAATACAAAATAGGGCTAGAGATGTGGCTCAGTGGTTCAAACCTCAGTACAAAAAAAAAAAAAAAGTGTGTCTATTGATCATCTGCTTCAAAATTACCTGTGGAATTTATTTAAACCAGAGTGTGGGGTCTCATCCTTGACCTAGTAAATCAGAATCTTCTGGGGTGAGGCCTGGAAATTTGACAAAGCTCCACAATGAGTCTTATGTACACTACAAGTTGAGGATCCTCTACAGAAGAGGGGTATTAACAACTTGGTTTGTTGTTGGTTTTTAAAGCTCCAGGATTTTTACTAACATTTTCTCATTTAAACCTTAAAACATACCACATCAAGGTATTATACAAAAAAGAAAAAGAAAAGTAGACTCTGGAGATTACGTAACTTGTCTAGCATACACAGCTGGCAGAACCAAAATTGGAACCAAGCTCTAACCAGCACCAAAGCTCAAAATTTTTCCATTTCATTATTCCTTAGTTTAATATTTTCCACTATAAAAAATGTAAGGGGTTAATTAGTCATCTAGATAGGAAAAAAAAGACAAAGACTTAAATATAGAGGAAGTCCAGGCCTAATGTAATTGGGAGAAACAGAAAAGAAGGGGGAAAATGTAATTTTAGAAAAATAAGCCATATTAACAAAAAAAAATGAAAGCAAAGAAAAATAAGCCATATTAAAGTGAAACAATATATAAAACACAGTTGTGTACTAAATTAACTAACTGATTTGACAGGTTTTTCATCTATTGACTTTCTATTGTTTGAGATACATTTCATTTTTAATGAAATACATTATTTACCTCCTGTGCCCTCAGGGTTCTTGGGGGTGGCAGATCATAGTTCTCTATATTAAAGCATGAGAGACAAAACTGCTTGTTGCAGCTCAACAGGTCTTGTTTTATATTCTTAGCAAAGTAGGAGGAGGTAAGGAATTGTTAACTGCAACTGAGCAGGTTTGGTAGAAGCCCTGTTACAAGTTTTATAATAGCATAGTACATAGTCAATTTTGATATTTTTATTTTGAAAAAAATGTGTTGTATTTTTGCTCATAGCACTTTTCAAAACGGAAAAACTATTTTTTTATTTTATGCTTAAGAGAAACTCTTACATATAAGTACAGTAAAGACCTGAACAAGAATTTTCATTTCACCATTCTATGTAATAAGGGGAGGAGAAGAGATTTAACAACTGAAAGTTCATCCATAAGAGCAATAGATAGTGGCTGGGGATGTGGCTCAAGCAGTAGCACGCTCGCCTGGCATGCGTGCGGCCCGGGTTCAATCCTCAGCACCATATACCAACAAAGATGTTGTGTCCGCCAAGAACTAAAAAATAAATATTAAAAATTCTCTCTCTCCTCTCTCACTCTCTTTAAAAAAAAAAGAGCAATAGATAAATTACAGTATATTTATCAGTAAACTATATAGGGTTCACATAATAAGTTATACCTAGCAATATAGTTCAAAAGCAATGTTGAATAGGGTAAAAGAGCAAGTTTGGTTAGTGGTATCACTAAAATTTCATTCAAAAAAGTTTTAAGTTATCAAAAAAACTGGATGACTATTCCCTATGGTGTATCATTTTTATTTTTAAAATGTATTTTTTTAAAACATACAATATGTATTTATATTACTATAAAGAGATAGGATAACATAATAACAAACATCATGGCCTACAAAGCAAACAATCTCAGTTCAAATAAGAATTTAACTTGTACATTCAGAAATGGTGGCACATGCTTGTAATCTCAGCAATTTGAGAGGCTGAGGAAGGAGTATCAAAAGTTTGGAGTATCAAAAGTTTGAGGCCAGGCTGGGGTTGTGGCTCAGTGGCAGAGCTCTTGCTGAGCACATGAGAGGCACTGGGTTCAATCCTCAACACTCATAAAAAAAGAAATTAAATAAACTTATTATGTCTGGCTACAACTAAAAAAAAAAGTTTGAGGCCAGCCTCAGCAAATTAGCAAGACGTGTCACAAAATTTTAAAAAGAACTGGAGATGTAGCTCACTGGTAAAACACCCGGGGGTTCATTCCCTAGTACTAACAAAAAAAAAAAAAAAAGGAAGAATTTAACTTGCAGCTGTATGGATGCAGACATGTTATTTAACCTTTCTACCTATCCATAAAATGAAAGTAAAAGCAGTAGCTACATTATGGTATTTTATATATATTTATATATAATATATATAGTATATATG